TGCGGTGAGCGATCATCGGCAACACGCCCCCACCATCACTCAATGGTGCGGTGAGCGATCATCGGCAACACGCCCCCACCATCACTCAATGGTGCGGTGAGCGATTATCAGCAACACGCCGCCACTCTCACTCGAGGGTGTGCTGAGCGACTCAACGGCAACACGCAGCCACCGTCACTAAACGGTGTGCAGGCGCTCAACGGCAACCCGCAGCCACCGTCACTTAACGGTGTGCAGGCGATTTAGCACTGGCAGATAGTAATGACTCCGGCAGTGTAATTAAAGCCGTGTGTCGGTCCTGGTTGGAAAACCAATTGATTTCGTGGCATCCTTCACTAAAAGGGAGGCCGCGGCTATTAAGGAACATACAAGTAACTACCGAGTATTGACGGCCACTTCATGTTAATAGTAAGTCCCTGGCATTTCAAATAGTAAGATGACATTGTTTTATGTATGTTTTGACCTTTTGATTGAAAATTAAATTGAATATTTGATATGAATGCTATTGCTTTGCGATTGAATGAATGCGAATTATGCTATAACTTAGCGGTAAGTACTATAAATTGCGATTATATTCCTTATATATTATAGTGCCATGAAGATGTTTTAATTTACATATTTATTTATCAGTTTATTGATTAATATATTTAATTATTTTTATAATTAAGTGAATGATTTGCTCTAAAGCGGCGATTTTGGTATATTTTGTAGAATATAGGTTCAAATTGTTGTTTAAATTTAGCAACTTTTCAAGTCCAAAGGTTTGATCACTGGCGCTATGAAACACAGGATGTAAGTTTATTATGTAAACATACTTTCATCATTTGATAATTACATAACGGAAATAAAATGTAAGTTATGATTTAAAATCATAAGGATTTGTATTAACTATTAACAAAAATTTAATGTGTTCTCATAACTTTCAATTGATTGCGATATCCTGTGTAACGTTTCCTTTTAAAACATTTTATTTTCTTTCCGATTAATAAACAAATTCATTTAGACAAATGTTATTTATATTAAATATTTGCAGTAAAGTTTTCATAACATGCCTAGCTCTTGAAATACTCGAAAGTGATACAGAGTTTCAGATCATACACAGCTATTATCGAGCAGTGATTTATCAGTTGTCAGCCAACAAGGAAGCAGAGCCTCGACTTCTACTACACTTACAGAACAAGTAAAACCAAAAGCAACGACAGCAACGCAACCTAATCCAGGCGTAAATCCCTAAAGAGTGAAATATTTGCCGTAACACAACCTGTTTACATGGCGAACGTAACGTTAGGTGCCCAAGATTTAACCGAAATCTCTAACATTGTTCAGAATAATCAGAATAACAATGAGCCGAGAACCAAACAATTCGATGGTATCCAATCACAAGCCGTCGAATGGATGGAAAACTTTGATTACATCGGGACAGCAAACGGATGGAATGAAGACAAGCGTAAGTCTAAATTAGGTACTTTTATGATCGGTGCCGCCAGAGATTGGTTTAATCTAACAGTTCATGGCTCGAACCTAACGTGGGATCAGGTAAAAGCTGCATTTTATAATCAATTTCTTCCTGTAAACTATTCAAGGCACATGAGAGGTGAGTTCAGACAAAGGAAACAAAAGTTATTCGAACCAAGTGCTAACTATATTTGTGCGATGAGAGGTATTTTGGCTAAGAGTAATACACAGATGACTGATGACGAAGCCATTGATAGCATATTGCTTAATATGCTTCCCGAAATTTCGGAAAAGGTAATATGTATGCGACCGACTACTTTTGATCAATTGCAGACACATGCAAAATTAGCTGAGCAAAGTTTGAAACAAGCACAAGACCCAAGTACCGCCACGGATGGTCAACTTATGCAATTGACACAAACAGCGAATTCGATGAATAGTAATCAACAAAGTCAATCAGATGCAAACTCAAATGATCCAAACAACCCTCAAAGAAATTTCAGGTATAATAATAATATAAGTTCATACTATACCAGTAGAGCTGGACGATCGCCGAGATGTTTTTATTGCGGAATATATGGTCATATTCAAACAAATTGCCATCGCCGAAACCGTGACATGAATGACAATTCATATAGAGGTAATTGGAATTTTGATGATAATGATAACAGTTTCAATGGCCAGCGAAATTATCATCGAGACAACTGGAACTACAGTTGCAATCGCAATTACCAAGACTACCGCGAACCTATTAATGGACAGCGAAACAATATGGCCGCTATGGTCCAATCAGATGAAACAGAAGACAATATACAAGAGGTAAGATTATTGAATATGATTGGAAGTATAAATTCTGGTTTTATTATTAATGTTAAATTGAACGCAAATACAGTTGAAAGCATTCTTGATACAGGTGCCAGTAGTTGTTTTATTAGCGAAGAATATGTGAAAGCCAATAACCTGTTACTCGATAAATGGACAGGTGAAGGATACATGTTGGCTAATGGTAAAATGATTATACCTACAGGTGTTACTAAAGTAATAATTGAGATAACGATTAATGGTATATCAAAATCCGCTGAAGTGTTTATTTATGTAATAAAGGGGCTAACAATGAATGTTGTTCTCGGATACAACATTATTAGAAAAATGGGATTGATTATTAACGGGAAGGATAATTGTATCAGTTTTTGACTGACCGGTGAATCTGTTGAGCCAATTAATATGAGTGTTTCTCGAATCAGTATAGTTTATGATACTTTTTCTCGAATATCATTTAGTATTTTACTTAATATATACATTTTACAACTCTTTTTAATAAATATTATTGAATCTCAGGCTATTAAAATTGTAACCGTTCCCGCTTTGCAACTTGTCGAGGTCGGAGATTTATCATGGGCCCAAGTTGATGGATATACCGATCTCGACAACTTGCTTGAAATTGTTATTGATTATGGCTGTGCGCGAGCCAGTAATCATTTAATTCCGATTCAAGGAGATACTCGTATTAAATATTTGAAGAAGTTTGTATTTAATTGGGATCCCGGCTCAACAGTAATATTTGAATGGTCTGGTATTGACCTAGTATTCCCCGTAGAGGTACCTGCATATAGTCCTCAGAAGAAGGACATTGTTATTGTTGTAAATGCTCTGAAAATCGCGCGTCTAACTATAAAAGTTAGTAGATTCTGTACACATGTGTTGAAAAATTGGGGACAAATGGTATATTATAAAGGGATACACGTCGACGTGTTATACATTGAAGTTGTTAAATTGAATATCCCCACAGGTATAAATGATGAAATTATTGAAAAGTATAATGAAGCGCTTATTGAATCCCCACATTATTTGATTAAAAGACGTTTAAAGATTATAAAAGAAACAGAGCAACTGACAGCGTTGAGACGCTGGTCAAATCCCGATTAAGTCCGTCAATCGTAGCCCACTATGTTATAATATACGAAATTGAAATGTAAATTGACGGAATCATTGAAAAGCGGTATTATAGTTTTAAATTATAAAGGATTTGTAAGAAAGAAATACGTTTTTTTATGTGGTCTTACGTGACCGTATTCGTTTATTGACATAATAAATGTCAATATAATTTAAGGTAAAATGAATATGATACAAAAATAAGTTTATTTTATTAATTATTAATACAGTAATAAAAGGGCCACAGAATTCAATATTAAATATAATATTGATTTGTATGGCTTGAAATCGTTATTGATTTAGGTAATAAGTTTTTACCTGATAAACATAACGTTGAATGAATGTTGAAATTATGTTAAATATGAGAAAGAATGGAAATGTTGAGATGATTAAATGTTTTAATCAAAATTAATTTTTATTTTGTGTCCGTTTTGATATAATGTGATTACTTGTCCGAAACTTATTTTTAATTACCACTAATTTTAGTTAATTTTTATTATAGTTATACTTAGTATTACTCTAAGATATCGATAACTATATTTAATGTTACGTTTAATTTTTAATTATTATAATAAATTTAATTATAAATAGATTATATGCTAATAGTTACTATAAATGCTTACACAAACAATTACACAAATTAATGCTTTAGCTAACAATTAACTTAACGTGTGAAAGTTAAATTGGAATCACATGTGTTGTGGCAAAAGTTGACGATAGCAATGGCCGTAAAGAAACTTTTCCTGATCATTCCATCTTGTCGGAAGCGGAGCAGTTAAGATCAACTAGTATTCCTCAAACATTTTCATTAATTAGTCCAATGGCTCACGACATTGCATATATACTATTTACGATACGAAACAAGAATGAGCTACAAAAAGTCACTCAAGAGAGTTGAAGATGTCCGTGATCTAACGCAAATACCTAAGAAGACATTGACTATGCAGACAATATATAAGTACGAACGGTATCGATAAAGCCAATCAAGGGCCAGACAACAGGCACCACGTATTCAGACAATGGTTATACAAACACCTGAAAGAGATCGTCACCAAAGAGACACACTTGACTTTATGCACGATTTCACAGCGAAGTGTTTCTACGTTACGAGAAACTAATGGTCAACGCAAAGCGAGGCCGAGACGAACGACATTTACATTGTCTTAAATACCGTCACCACAACAGTTAATACCATTAAGTTTTAAATTAATATTTTTATGCTTATATATATATATATATATATATCAATTATTGTTATGTTTGTTTTTGCCTATTATCTGCGTATTTTATTTGCCAATTTATGTTAAAATTTAAAAATTATTTGCAATAATTTTTACCTAAAGCAGAGGGAGATTTGTAGACACCGGATAACATTAATTGTTTAGATTTAACATTCAGTTGTTATGAACGCTTTCTGAATACAATAATGTATTCATAAATGAATGTTGATAAATTAAAAGACAAATACAAATTCCTATCCCTTTACACATTTATCACATTATGTAATCTCTATCAATATATATCACAGCAATTGCTTGATTGCATTCACTTGAGTATTGGTCGCCGGCATTAACGCTTGGCTTTAAATATGTTTTTATCACAGAGTTTTACTTATGATGTATTTTAATGATTAGTGCTTTTTATCACAGTTTGTAATGCTTTTGCGTTAAATTGAATAAAACTTTATTTTAAATATTAATTGTGTGATTGTGTGAGAGTGACCTGACCAGACCCGAACCTTAGAGACCATTCGGGTCTCTACAAATATGGCGTCCGCGTACAGCTGGTCACGGGTCACCCGTCGGTAAATTTTTGATATGTATTTTTTCATTTTAATTTTAAATTCTAAATTTTATAATAAATTAATATTGTTGCCATGTTTATAATGTCCGCCTAAATTGTCCACTAGGTTGTCGTCGGTATTGATCATAATTAAATAAATTATTTTTATTTTTTCATTTATATTGTAAGGGGACTATGTGTCTAGCTAATGTTGCCCTGTGGCCCATAACTTTGTTTAATTGTTTGTTAAATTAATTTTACTTTTAATTTTTGTTTATTTTTTGACATTAGTTGCCATCTTGGTTGCCGAGTTCCTGTTGCCCACTATTATGGATTTAATTATTTAATTAATTAATTTAATCAATTTATTTTGTTTATTTTTTTTGTTTAAAGCGGAGAGAGGGTTTTGATGGGTGACCGACCGCCGCCGCCTTCACTCAAAGGTGCGATGAGCGATAGGTTTCTCCAACGGCAACACGCCCCCACCATCACTCAATGGTGCGGTGAGCGATCATCGGCAACACGCCCCCACCATCACTCAATGGTGCGGTGAGCGATCATCAAAATGAATTGAAAACACATTTAATTAAAATTCACTCAAAATATGAAACACTTATCGATTCAGAAGACAATCAACACTTCCGGACATTATCTCAACGATCGGATCAATTGAATGACCGAAAGATCTCTTCAGATATTATTGAGATAATGTTTGGAACTAATGTCCGACTGAAGAGATCATCAAATAATCAACAATTGAAGCCAATAAGTGATGACACAAATTATAAGAGCGAAGACATGAATGAAGACACGACTGAAGACACCAATGATTTGATTTTAAGACCAAATGTCTCTGAAGTACTAAAAGATAATTGTGTGGAACCGATGAATGGATTGAATATAGAAAAGCATACGTTAGTCAACAATACATCAAATCCATTGATATCTCATTCCTCACCACAAGAGATGGTAAACGAAGAGATCATTGATATCAGTAATGAAGACTCGATGGAAGACTCAATGCAACCAAAATTGTTAACTGAATTTTTGCCCCAAAGTGTCCGCCGAAGTGATCGCCAAAGAGACAAATCTAATCCATTGACAACCCATGCGTTGATTTGTCCGCCAAATGCGGGCCAAAAGACATTCAATCTAATGATTTTGTCGCCACCGATAACTCAATCGCTGCCACAACTCATTGTTACCCAACCCGTGAACACTAAGCGATTGATCCCAAGGATTGCTAAGCCAAGGATCCCAAGGATTCACTCAAATACCAATCGAGTGATTGCTAACAAAGCGGTGATCGAAAGCACTCGCGAAGAGTTGATTGAGAAAATCAAATCAAGTTATTCCTTGGGATGTGCTCTCGATATTAATGAGAGAAAAAAGTTTTATGATTTGAATACTAAGACATATATTTGTCCCATAAATGAGTGCCACAAAAGTGGCCAAAAGGACGTGTGGTTTTGGAAGCACTTGAAGACAACGCACTCAAACAAACGGCATGTCTGCGACTCTGAAGGCTGTGGTAAAGGCTTTAAGACAAACGAACATTTAAAACAGCATTCATTTACACACAAAGCGATTAAATCATTTAAATGTCATTATAATGGCTGTGAATATCGAGGCGTTAGTCGAAAACATTTGACCGAACATATGAAGAAACACTCGACGGACAGAGTGTTTAAATGTGATATCAGCGGATGTGGGAAGACATTTACGACAAGCACTGGTCTGTGGGCACACCGGCGGACACATCAAACTGAACCGATGTATAAATGCGGTATCGATGACTGTAGTGATATGTTTTACACTGCATCTCAACGGACCAAACATCAGGTTATGGTTCATAACCGGCGGCCGTATAATTACAAGAGAAAGAAACACCGGTGCCAATGGCCCGGATGTGATTGGATGGGGACCGACATGAGTGTACATCAGCGCATACATACGGGTGATAAGCCGTTCGCCTGTGTTTGGCCCGATTGTGGCAAACGGTTTACCGCTAAACATAAACTTAGAGAACACATGAATATTCACAATAATGTTAAGCCATTTGCCTGTCATTGGCCCGGATGTCAGTACACGTCCGCCAGTAATCCTAATGTTATTAAACACACAAAACAAGTTCATAAAATGTAAACTAATTGTAATTTAATTTAATTAAACAAAATTGATAAATATTTGTAATGCATTTGTTGTTAATTATAACAAAGATTAATGAGGTCGACGCCCATAACCCGCGGCCGTCTATTAAGCCGAGAAAGCGGTCAAATAGTTTACTCCTACACCACCCGACTGTTCCGTAGAAGAAGCCATTAGTTGTTAACTGTTCCCAAGTGGTGATGAATCCGTCGGTCGGGGAAAACGGTGTTTGTCTCAAATTATTTATTATAAAAATTTCTAAAATTGTATTTTAATTTAAATATTGATTAAACAATTTGTTTCATAACTTTCTTTTATTAATACACTTGAAGTGAACGTAATTATTGATTATATCTTCACTTTTCATATGTTTTGTGTTTACATTTTTTGCTACAAAATTGTTGTTTAGTTTTGGACTTAATTTGTATTCAAATTAATTGTGAATTAGTTTTAAATGTGATTTTGAATTCAATTATGGATTCAATGATTAATATTAACGATATTTTGGATGAATTATTGTCTGAAAACAATAGACTTTTACATGAAATCCAATGTTTATGTGAAATGAAAACACATTTAATTAAAATTCACTCAAAATATGAAACANGATATTTTGGATGAATTATTGTCTGAAAACAATAGACTTTTACATGAAATCCAATGTTTATGTGAAATGAAAACACATTTAATTAAAATTCACTCAAAATATGAAACACTTATCGATTCAGAAGACTTAGTTGTGAAGGCCTGTAACAGAGTTTGTAACCTAGTTAACTTACTGGCTTTATAGTGAAGCACACCATTTCTAGAGTTTTATTTCAGATTTTGTGTTCAGGACGGTTACTCAGGTAGTTTACCTGTACAATTGAGACGAAGAATAACTAATAAACCACAAGAAGTGAAGCAAACAATTGATTATTTAAGTGAAGATTTGGATGAGAGTTATGTCGAGGAAGCAAACGAAGACATTGACGAGGAATCAGACAATAGTTCTATCGAAAAGACGAAGAAAAGAAAATACACTAAAAGACAAAACATCCGGAAGAAGATAACGAAACTCTTCAGACATACGCTAAGACATCAAACGGATCCGATTGTCGATACCGTGAAGTCAGCAACTGATGACTCGATCGACACTAAACTGTCGCCAAAGACGGGCCGAAAGCCGAGACAACAATCGCCGCGAAAACACGTTTTGACACTAAATCGTGAGGAAAGGGAGGAGTGTTTCGATCGGACGACTCATACATACAAATGTCCGGCCAATGGCTGCGCGAAGACATTCGCGAAGAGCGAACTGTTTCGTCAACACATGTGTAATATGCATACCAATCGCCGCTTTGTCTGCGATTACAGCGGATGTGATAAAGTGTTTATATCGTCGGATCACTTGAGGAAGCATTCGGTCCGCCATTTGGACGACAAGCCGTTTAAATGCGAGTACAATGAGTGCCGATACGAGTGCTATACTAACAAATCGCTTCGGAATCATATGTTGACGCACTCGACAGACAGACCGGTCTATCGGTGCGATTTCGCCGGTTGTGAGAAGACATTTGAATCAAAGACTGGTATCAGATATCACTCGCGCGTACATCAGAGCCTACCGATGGTTAAGTGTAGTGTCAACGGATGCGATGACCGGTTCTTCACTAACGCCCAGCGCCGCAAACACCTCACAGAAGTCCATAATAGGGCGCCCGTAACGGCACCCATGTATCGGTGCGATTGGCCCGGATGTGAGTGGTCTGGCCGTCACGTCACCCGCCATAAGACCATTCATACGGGAGAGTTGCCGTTCGCTTGCGATTGGCCGGAGTGTGGCAAACGGTTCCGCGTGAAAGACTTCTTGCAACAGCACATGAATGTCCACAACTGTGTGAAGCCCTATGCGTGTCATTGGCCCGGATGTACATACAGTGCCGCCAGTAATCCCAATCTCTTCAATCATGTCAAACGATTTCATACAAAAAAAGTGTGATTTTATTTGTAATTAAATGATTTTTAATTAGATTTTTGAATAAAAGTTTATTTTCACATAATTTTTGCGTACAATTGAAGTGAACGTTATTTTTGATAATTCACTCACTTTTCACATGTTTATGGACTTTTTGTTTACACTTTTTTGTCAACAAAATTGTTGATTAGATTTACGTTTAATTTATATTCAAATTAATTGATGATTAGTTTTAAATGTCATTTGAATTGAATTATGGATTCAATGATTAGCGAAAAGTCATTGAATTTTAGTATTAATGATGTTTTGAATGAATTAATGGTTGAAAACAAACGACTTTTAAATGAGTTATTGTTTGCAAACAAATGTTTGAATGAATTGAAAACACATTTAATTGAAATTCACTCAAAATATGAAACACTTATCGATTCAGAAGACAATCAACACTTCCGGACATTATCTCAACGATTGGATCAATTGAAAGATAGTGATGTCATATCAGATACCACTGAAACCATCACCGGATCACTACTCGGAACAAATAGACCATCAAATGGACGACATTTTAAGTCTAGAAAAAGTAAAATACTTGGAGTGAAAGAAAGTATTGATGACATGAATGAAGACTCGGAAGACATGAATGGTTTGGTTTTGAGATCAAATATTAAAGAAGAACTAAACGACAATTTTGTGGAACCAATGAATACACGAATGAGTAAAACCACTGTTAAGACGAAAAGATCACAAAAAATGATTGCAAACAATAAAAACTCTTCAGAAAAGACATCCAAACCATTAATATCTGGATTTAAACTAAAAAAGCGCCAAAGAATGCAATGCTTTGATGTGAAGACAAAGACATACATTTGTCCCATCAATGAGTGCCACAAGAGTTACACAATTGATCACACATTTTATCGACACGTTATGAGAGAGCACTCCGGGAGACAATACGCGTGCGAATACAACGGCTGTGATAAAGTGTTTCGGGAAAAGACTGGTTTAACTCAACACTCGGTTAGTCATAAAACGGTTAAATCATTTCAATGCGATTATAATGGCTGTCAATATCGGACGGTTTGCGAAAAGCGTTTGACACAACATAGGAAGACACACACCACGGATCGAGTGTTCAAATGCGATGTCAGCGGTTGTGACAAAACATTTAAGACAGACTGCGGTCTGTGTTGTCACCGCCGGACACACATGTCTGAGCCGACGGTGAAGTGCGGGGCCGACGGCTGTGCGGACATGTTTTACAACGAACACCAGCGCTACAGACATCAGGTGGACGTTCATAACCGGACGCCACGCGTGCACATCAAAAGGAAACATCGCTGTCAATGGCCGGGATGTGATTATTACGGCCCTAAGGCTATAGAACACCAGCGCGTGCACACCGGTGAGCGGCCGCACGGCTGCCATTGGCCCGATTGTGGCAAACGGTTTGTCACCAAATATCAACTCAAAGAGCACATGAATATTCATAATAACGTTAAGCCATTCGCCTGTCAATGGCCCGGATGTCAGTACAGCGCCGCCAATTCGGCTAATGTTTCTAAACATGTAAAACAAGTCCATAAATAAAATGTAATCTAAAATAATTTAATAATTAAATTATATGAATTTTATGGCTAATATCTACAACATGTAACTTTGGTTTACTATTAAGTGCAAACAATTACTTGTAAAATATTACTGATATTATCTGTTAAATAAGGGCAACATGCTCATTTCATATGTAATTAATAAATCAATTTTAAATGAAAACATCCTGTTAATAATTATTGTACTTTACTTTCAGTTCATGAATGCGTTGGAATTTTTTGAATAACTTGTTTAGTAATCTTGTAAATTGATGTTGAATGTTGACACTAAAATATGATCCTGCTACAATATGTTTTGAGTTAAATAAATAACTTTTACATTATTTGTTATTGTATGCTGTATTAATTATTTTAATAACATCCTGATTGTTTTAAATTCATGGCATTCAAAGCTTGTGATCAAATTGTTTAAAAGTTTTTATTCATTATTATTGTACTGAATGTGTGATCACATGATATGACTCGCAGTCGTGTCTCACAAACACTACTTGTGTTTACATTTCATTCAATTCTCATATATTTTCTGTTTCTGTATTTAAATTAATTGTGAATTAGTTTTAAATGTGATTTAAATTCAATTATGGAAACAATAGTTAACGAAAAGTCATTGGATTTTAATATTAATGATATTTTGGATGAATTAATGGTTGAAAACAAACGACTTTTAAATGAGTTATTGTTTGCAAACAAATGTTTGAATGAATTGAAAACACATTTAATTAAAATTCACTCAAAATATGAAACACTTATCGATTCAGAAGACAATCAACACTTCCGGACATTATCTCAACGATTGGATCAAATGGTTGACCGAAATGTCACTACAGATGGTAATCATCTAAAGAGTGAATGTAATGTCCAACTAAAGAGTCCATCGAATGGCAGACAATTGAGAAAAACCCGTAAAACACAAGAAGTAATCGAAGAAATGAATGAATCAAATGAAGACTCGGATCAGAATTATAGCGAAGACATGAGTGAAGAATCAGATGATAGTTATGTCAAAACGAAGAGAAGGAAAAGCAATAAAACACAAGAAGTGGTGACTAAAGCGGATTCAGTGGAAGCGATGACACGAAAACCTAATATAAATACTAAGAAATGCTTTGATATGAAGACAAAGACATACATTTGTCCTATCAATGAGTGCCACAAGAGTTGCGAAACAATTACACAGTTTTACAGACATTTACAGTATTGTCGTACAGATCGAAGATTTAAGTGTAGATTCAAAGGATGTGATTTGGTGTTCAAATTTAGATCATATCTTAAGACACACTCCAAGACTCACATAAACTTTAAATGCCATTATAATGGCTGTGAATACGAAACGCATACAAAAGCACTTTTTACCGAACATTTAGCCATTCATTCAGCGGACAAACCATTGTTTAGATGCGATGTCATTGACTGCGGGAAGACATTGAAGTCATCGTTCGGTTATAAACTCCATTCGCTGAGACATCAAAACAAACCGACTCTCAAGTGTGGTATCAATGGATGTAATGATATGTTTCTATATAGTTGCCAACGACGCAGACATCAAACCCGTGTTCACAATCGGGCGCCTTTGGTGCCCAAAAAACACAAATACGGCTGCGATTGGCCGGGATGTGAGTGGACGGGCCTTCACGTCAATGATCACAAGCGTACCCATACGGGCGATAAGCCGTTCCAGTGTTTATGGCCAGAGTGTGGCAAACGGTTCCGAATGAATATCCAGTTGAAAGCACACATGAATATTCACAATAACGTTAAGCCGTATGCGTGTCATTGGCCCGGATGTCAGTTTAGGTCCGCTAGTAATGCAAATTTTCACAAACATGTGCAAAATATCCACAAAAAGTGACTTTTAATTGTAATTTAAGTTTTTAAAAATTTTTATGCCATTAAATGGTAATATACTGTAAATAGTTTTAATTCATCGATGCGTTGGAATTTTGTGAATAACTTGCTTAGTTATTTTGCAAATGCATTTTGAATGTTGACACTAAAATATGATCCTGTTACAATATGTTTTGAGTTAAATAAATTATTCCTACATTGTTTGCTATTGTATGCTGTATCGATCATTTTAATAACATCCTCATTTTGTTGTTAATTCATGGCATTCCAAGTTTGCCATAGACCATGGTGGTTTGTAATTGGTTTATAACTTGTAATAAAATCTCATATTTTAAATGTGTGTTTAAAAGTTTTTATTCATTATTATTGTACTGAATGTGTGATCACATGATATGACTCGCAGTCGTGTCTCACAAACACTACTTGTGTTTACATTTCACTCAATTCTTATATGTTTTCTGTTTTTGTATTCAAATTAATTGTAAATTAGTTTTAAATGTGATTTGAATTGAATTATGGAAACAATAGTTAACGAAATGTCTGCGGATTTTAATATTAATGATATTTTGGATGAATTAATGGTTGAAAACAAACGACTTTTAAATGAGTTATTGTTTGCAAACAAATGTTTGAATGAATTGAAAACACATTTAAATAAAATTCACTCAAAATATGAAACACTTATCGATTCAGAAGACAATCAACACTTCCGGACATTATCTCAAACTTTGAATCAATTGAATGACCGAAATATCACTACAGATGGCTATCATCTAAAGAGTGAATCTAATGTCCGACTGAATACTCCATCGAATGGCAGACAATTGAGAAAAACCCGTAAAACACAAGAAGTAATCAAAGAAATGAATGAATTAAATGAAGACTCGGATGAGAGTTATGCCGAAGACATGAGTGAAGAATCAGATAATAGTTATGTCAAAACGAAGAAAAGGAAAAGCAATAAAACACAAGAATTGGTGACACAATCGGATTCAGAGGAAGCGATGCCTCGATTGCCGCGAAGACCTCAGATAAATGCTAAGAAATGCTATGATGTGAAGACAAAAACATACATTTGTCCCAAAAATGATTGTCACAAGAGTTACGAAACGATTAAGAAGTTTAGAAGCCATTTAAAGTATTGTCGTTTAGATCGAAGATTTAAGTGTAGATTCAAAGGATGTGATTTGGTGTTCAAATTTAGATCACATCTTAAGACACACTCCAAGACTCACACAAATGGGATCACAAACAAAAGGAAATACCATAAAAGACAAGAAGTAGTTAAGACAACGGATGACAACAACGAAGACATTAGCGAAGATATGACAGAATCGGCAGATATTTTGGACACAAATTTAAATGATTTAAAAACCCATTCATACACTTATATAAACGATACGCCCTTTAAATGCCATTATAATGACTGTGAATATTGTACGCATACAAAAGGACTTTTGAATAATCATTTAGCCATTCATTCAGCGGACAAACCGTTGTTTAGATGCGATGTCATTGACTGCGGGAAGACATTCAAGTCATCGTTCGGTTATAAACTCCATTCACTGAGACATCAAAACAAACCGATATTTAAGTGCGGTATCAATGGATGTAATGATAAGTTTCTATACGATTACCTAAAACGCAAACATCAAACCCGTGTTCACAATCGGAAGCCTCCGGTCCATAAAAAATACGAATACGTGTGCGATTGGCCGGGATGTGAGTGGACGGGCGGCCAACTGAACCGACACAAGCGCTTGCATACGGGCGATAAGCCGTACCAATGTTTATGGCCAGAGTGTGGCAAACGGTTCCGAATGAATATGCCGTTCAAAGAACACATGAATAGACATAACAACTTTAAGCCGTATGCCTGTCATTGGCCCGGATGTCAGTATATGTCCGCCAGTAATAGTAATCGTAACCGACACGTGAGAAATATCCACAAAATGTGACTTTTAATTGTAATTTAAGTTTTTATAAATTATTTTTTATGCCATTAAATGACAAGAATTGTTATGTTTTTTCCTAATTAAAGGGAAATACTTTGATTTAAGTCTAATAATCAAAGACTTAAATGATTTGTAAATATTGTATTAAATGTGTAAATTATTTTTAAACCAATTACCAATCCATTTGATTAATGGTTTAATTAAACACAGATTAAACGATGAAAATGCTATAACTAATGGCGCAAACACTCCATCAAAATCCTATTAAATACCTATAAATTATTAAAATAAAGCAATTGTTTTGGCGCAACAAATACCCGGATAATCATAAATTGTCTATAATTAACATACAATCAACTAATTTCAACCAATTTATTGCTACAATAGAGTGCTATTGATATAAACAACTAAGTCAAAAGCGTACCCCCAAGGGTACACAGCAATATTCAATGAGTTATAATTTATACACTATTCAGAATTCATTCAAATATAAAGTACACTAATATAATGAGTGGGGTTTAAACGCATTTATTAAATATTATTGAACTTTTATATGAAAATTATTTGTAAATATTTGAGAATAATTATTAATCATGGGCATTAGGGTACTCGATGACTGCAATGATTGTAACGTTTATAATGAATTATAACTTATTAATAAGCTTGATGATTCAAAAACCACGTCTAATTAATTTTAGCCCCGCCATCCCTCTAACCATACATGGATATAAAGTTTTGAAGTTAAAAAACTTTGATAAGTTATACCCCTAAACGTTCGGCAGTGGGTGAGCGCACGTATGGGTACGCTTGCGCTGTACTCACTGTACATAACATTTATACAATGCAATCGCTATTGCAATCCATAGGCAGCAGACATACAGTAGTGTTGAGTGCGATAAACAGTCGACAACTCGATTGCCAATCAAAACGAGACATTTAATGAACGCCTTATTGCGAGTGAACTGTCGTCGAAGTGAATGAGTAATACTTGTATTGTATTCATCATTAGATCACTCATTGATTGAGTCATTAATTAAACAAATCGTTTGTTTTGTTGTTTTCATTGTTGTTATAATTAATACACAATTAGTGTTGTGTTGTTGTGGTTGTCGTCATCACCTCTACTCGTGAGTTGTGTCCACACATATTGTCTGTAACTGTCTCTCTCATTGTTATTGTTGTCTCTAATCTCTTGTAGTGATCAGTGATTGGCTGATAATCGCTAAGAAGTGATTGCATTTTGTGCTCATTTCTCTCCACAAAGTATTGATTGAGTGATAATCAGCTGAAGACATGAGTTATAAGGGCTATCAGTCGACCATTGGTGGCGATGAGCGCAACGACTGGTCCCGACTCTCGCAGACGGTGGCCACTAATGTCCAGAAGATATCGCAAAATGGTTGGTGTCTTACCATTTGATCCAATTTCGGATCTAATGTTTTTGTTTTGTTGTCAATTAGTTAATCAAATGCAACGAATGGTCAACCAATTGGGCACATCTCAAGACTCCGACAATCTTAGGACTAATTTGTGAGCGCTTTTATTCCTCAACTTATAAGCCATTGTCTCTATCCGTGGCTTATGTTTAGTGATAATTATTGTGTAGTTTTACCATATTTTTGGGCCTTTAATTGTCCGAAACATATGTTTATTCATTATCGCTATAAGTATTATGACTAATGATTGGCCATTGATTTTGTTTACGTCTCCAGACATGAGATCCAACACTACACCAACCAATTGGCTAAAGACACGAATAATAACCTCAAAGAGTTGGCACAAATGCCACAATCGACTAATGTGTCCGAACAGGTATTTTGACGGCCAATCCTCAGCAACTGATCCCGTGTTTTAATGGTGTGTTTTGTTTGATTGTATTTTCAGAAACAGAGACGAATGCTGAGGGAGCGGCTGACCAGCGACTTCTCGGAGGCCCTCAAGAACTTTCAAGTGATCCAAAGGACCGCCGCCTCCAAAGAGAAGGAGAGTGTGATCAGAGCCCGGGCTAACTCTGGCCTTAATTCAGTGAGTGTTACGAAAGGGGACAGCGGTTGAGACCCAGAGTTGTGAATGATTGACAAATGTCTTGCATCTAATCCACAGAATAGCGGTTGGGACGACCACTCGTCCAGAGGGCCGTCGAATCTGATTGATTTGCAAAGGTTTGTGTTCACACATTGCTTATACACAATACTGACCACTAGTTTACGCAGAGATAAGTTTTTAGGCTTTAAGTTTTGAAGGACATGCGGATGACGTCTATATGATGTCAAATGTATTGTAAATTAATTGATAATTTATTATTTTATTGAAATTCAAAACTGGTTAACCCGTTATAACTGTTAATTTGGTAATTTGCAGACAGTATTACATAATTGTGAGCTATTTATACCGAGAATGAAACAGAAATTTTAATAATTAGATACTTGATACTTAACAATGATCGCGGTCGATGTATATTTTCGGTTAGTTTACGATTAAACAGATTATTCTTGCATTTTATCCATACATTAAAATCTAATGATTAGATCCAATGTTTTTGACTTATAATACTGTATACATAAGTTTATACACCGATTGATTGTAACCGATGTTTAATTGTTGTGTCATTTAGTCCACAATCGCAGACACAGATCCAGATGGAAGAGGAGTGCGATATAGAGCTCCTGCGGGACAGAGAACAGGCCATCCGTAAGATCGAGTCGGATATCGTGGAAGTGAATCAGATATTCAAAGACTTGGCGACAATGGTTCACGAACAGGGAGAGGTGATCGACAGCATTGAGGCCAATGTGGAGACCGCGTCCATACAGGTGCACGAGGGCACCGCCCAGTTGTCTAAAGCGCGTGACTATCAGGTTTGTCCGGCCAGTCCTGCCCGAGGGCAACACTTTTTCACTGACTTTTATATCTGTTTTGTTTGAGTGGTTTCTCTCTTTCGCGACCATCGATGGCATGAATTGTTGTTTGAATTGATTTATTTTTATTCCTATCAATCCTTTCTCTCTTTCACCCATTGATTGATTGGTTTCTGTATTAATGATATGATTTTGATGACAATCTCTGAACCCAATGCCTGTGTTTTTTAGACCCGAGCGCGCCGTAAGAAACTTTGCCTCATTATAGTACTTGTGATAATACTTGCAATTATTGTGGCCGTCGTCTGGATTGAGACAAGCAGTAAATGAATTGCTATTTATTTTGATTTGATTTAATTTCCTAACCCTTTATCTCTCTCTATCTCTCCCTGTTGTCCGTGTGTTACTTTGGTTTATTCTCTCTCTTATATCACTTTCTCTCTCCATTACCTCTTCTATGATTGACTCTCTTTACGAATACTTTAATTAATTTGAATTTTTATTTTTTCATTTATTTTCAATTATTGATTAATTAATTGTTGTCTATTGTTATTGTTTTAACCGTTTGATTGATTGTCTGATATTAATGCATAATTTGTTTGTCTATTATCTCTCTTTGCGTCCATAGAGTAAAGCGCGTCGAAAGACCTGTTTGTTGAGCATTATCTTCGCGTCTGTGGTTTTCCTAATATTAATAATTTTATGGTTTTCGCGATAATAAACGACAATAAAAACCGGACATTCCGTTCCCCTAAAAGTCTTCAGTTCTCGTTTACCCACCGCTCAACGACCCAACAGTCTCTCTCTCTCTCTCTCTCTCTCTCTCTCTCTCGTTATGATTAGTGAATACCCTTTAGAAACAAATTTCCAAAACTCTTATAATGTGTCTCTTATTCTGTGATACCCTTAGAGACAAGCAATGTATGCGAAAATACTTACATTTTGTTTGTTTTATTGCCTAAAAACACATGATTTTTGCGATGAATGCAAAGCACTCTTCAAGTGATGTAAACTATATATATTTGTCTGAGGAATGAATAATAATAATTTGAAAACTATTTTCTCAATACATTTTTCATTTCCAAAACACGAATTCAGTACTCAATTAACAGGAAAACGATAACAAAAACAACACCAAAAAAATGTTAATAACTTTTGCATGAATTGTGTGAACGAATAATTGATTTCTTTAAAAAATACAATTAATTATTATATTGTGTTTTAATTAAAAACACTTTATATATTACGATAATAATCAGAGCATTGGTATAACGCTTACACCTCACAGCAAACCAGACAGTAATTTCATAGCATTTTTATTATTCAATTAAAATATTATTATAAAAACATTAAAATTAAAAAACAACTTAAAAACAGAGAGAAAAAAATCTATAATTAATTGAATAATATTATGATAACTATTGATTGGCTAATGATTACGAGATATTAATAAAAAAAACTATTAATTATATTTGTCATCAGAAAAATATGTGCAAAAATATTTCAATTTTTAATTAAAATTATATTTATATTTAGGGCTTTGAATCTCTTTTATAATTGAGATCTAAATATAGCGACAATAACTCAATGGCGGAGAGCGTTGGGTTTGGTCTCAATTCAAGGGCTAATGTATTGGCGTATAAATTGTCACCAAATATACTGTAAAACACAACAAAATTTACGCTCAAATACCAAGGATTTTGACGCCAATCGCGTTCACAGTTAAGGTTAACACACGTTAAGCAAAATAAAATTAAAAAATAATTAATAATTACTTCAAATACTCTTTTCGATCATACGTTTGAGACGCGAATAGGGGTTCAAAAAATCGCTCAAAAATAGTTGAGTTATTGTCGGAGAAAATATAAAAAATAATAATAAAAAACAACAAAAAATAGTTATAAATATCTAGTAATTAATCATTTATAGCATTCGTCCTGCGCTTCGGGTATCGCCGACAGACGTGTGGACACCAAACCGATCTTTTTGTACAGTATATCGATATTGGGATCCATTTCCACGTATTTGAGCCGCTTTTGGTGCTCAGGTATGCGGCGCCTGTAGTCGGCCAACAGTTTGCCGATATTCTTGCCGCCAATACTTCCGCGCCGTTTACTCTTTGTCTTCTTCTCGATCTTTGGTTTCGATGTCTTCGCCACTTTCGACGGTTTCTCTGTCTTCGACTTCGGGCTCTCTTTTTGTGCCTTCGGTTTCGATGCCTTGGATCTAGTCTTTGACGGCTCGTCGGCATCGGTGGCCGAAACGCTAACAATCAGTTCTGCCATTGTGTTAGCGTTCGGCCGACGATTACTTTTGTCCACTTCTTCGCTGGAATACAATTCCGTCACTTTCTTCAGACGTCTCGACCGACGCACACAATTGGCGCTCACGTCCTCTTCAACAGTGACTGCCGTATCACAAACAGTGGCCACACTTTCACTAACAGTGTCAACGTTATCACCGATTGGATCCGCACTATTCTTCGCAGTCTCTTCATTATTTATAGTAATATCTTCAGTATCTTTTATAATGCTTTCCATATCTTCGACAACGTCTTCATTATCATTACAAATGTATTCATTGTCTATAATTGTTTCCTCGCAGTCTCTATACACGTCTTCATTGTCTACAATGTCTTCATTATCTCTAACGATGTCATTATCTTTAACAGTGTTTTCACAGTCTATAACATTGTGTGCCTGATCTGTAGAAATGTCCGCACAATCACTAACAATGTTCTCAATAATTTGGTCTTCAGTGGTGACACATTCCTCTGCGACCACTGTTTTCAATATATTATCATCAGTTTTGACAATTGGATCGACAGTTTCGACATTCATATCAAAGACTTTGAGCTGAGATTCAATAAAATATACAAAAAGTTAAACAATTAATAACAAAATACATAAAGATATCAAAATCAAAAGACATACCTCTTTGGCCAACTGTGCGAATGTCCGCAGTTTAGACACTGGCATCGGTGGTGTGTCAGTGTCTAGCGTGTCATTTGGCGTCGGTTTTGGGATCGACACCAACTTCTTCTTCTTCCGGGGCCTCCCTTTGGACGCCTTCTTCTTATCGACGGCTATATCAGTGTCTCGATTGCGGTCAACGGCGGGGACG